AGACAGCTTTAAAATGGGGTCTCACCTCCCTCAGGGCTCTTGTTGAGTTTGAACATAAATGTGGAAGTGGGTTGGACAATGTCCAGGATGGCCAGCAGGGTGCGCGTGAGGCACAGCAGCGCATTAAAGCTGTAGAAGCCAAAGTAGACCAGGTTACGTGCCAGGTGGACCACCTGTTAGAGCGACAGACAGAGAAAAGCCATTAAAATTCAAAGTGTTAGAGACTGAATCATTAGTATTCTGTTAGAGCTAATGCAGCCAATCTGCTCTGTCCTCTGGACACATCACATAATACATTCAGGAAAAACATCAAAACTGGCACACGAATACAAAAAAACAGACACACAAGCATGAAGTACAACATTAGTGAGTTACAAGCTCCATATGACTGATTCACTAAAAAGAACTGACTACACATTTGTGCTTTATAATTTTGATTCACTATAAAGAACCAAAACAATTGTTTGGGAATCAGTTTGGCTTACTAAAAAATTACTCATAAATGACATCCTTTTGGAATCGGACTACACTGGGTGTGCTTAATTTTTGATTCACTAATAGAGTCATTTACTCAGGAATTGGTTGGACTATACCAGTCAAGCTGTATGGATGAATTTGATTCACTAAAAAACAGCTTTTAAGGGTCATTCATTTAGGAATCAGGCCACACTTGTCATTCGCTCAGGAATTGGTTGGACTACACCAGTCACGCTTAAAAGATGGATATGACTCATTAAAAAGCAGCTGATCATAGTGATTGGTTCAAGAATTGGACTAAATTTTTTTCGCTGTATGGTTTTGATTCACTACAAAGAACCAACTCAATTGAGTCATTTGTTTAGGATTTGGTTGTACTACACTGTTTGCACTGTATGAACAGATTTGATTTACTAAAAAAAAAAAAAAGACAGCTCATAAGGGTCATTAATTTGGTAACCGGACTACACTGGTTGTTCTGTATGTTTTTGATTCACTAAATAGAACCATTCATTCAGGATTCAATTGGACTACAGCAGTCACGTTGTATGGGTGGATTTGAATCACTAAAAAAACAGCTTATACTCTAAGAATCATAGGACTGGGAATTGAACTACACTGTTTGCACTGTATGATTCTGATTCTCTACAAAGAACCAACTCATTTGTTTGGGAATCAGTTGGACCACACCATTTGTGCTGTATGGATAGATTTGAATGATCAAATTCATTTGCCATCAGACTACACTGCTTGTGCTGTGTTTTTGATTCACTAAATAGAACCTACTCCTTAGAATAATTTGTTCAGGTAGCAGTGCACTACAATAGTCACACTCTATCAATGGATTTGATTCACTAAAAAAAAAGCAGCTTATATGAATCATTAGTTCAGAAACTGGACTACACCGTTTGCACTGCAATGATAAATTTGATTTACTAAAAAAAGAAAAACTCAAACATTCATTTGGGAATTGGACTACACTGGCCATGCTATGATTTTAATTTAGTAAAAAGAACCAACCCACAACTACAGTGATTCAATGACTACACTATATAAATAAATCTATATCACTAAAAAAAGCCTATAAAAGTCATCAATCTGAGAATTGGACTACGCTGTTTGTGCTTGTATGGTTTTGATTCACTTTAAAGAATCAACTCTTTAGAGTGATTCATTGACTACACTGATCATACTATATGAATAAATCTGAATCACTAAAAAAAAAAAGCTTATAAGAGTTGTTTGTTCTGGTATTGGCTACCCTGGTCAGGCTGTATTTTTCGCACTGTAGATTCAATAGTGGTGTTGGCTGAATAGTAGAGCAGGAAACAATGCTCTGTCCACATTGATGGAAGATTACATGTGTCAGAACAGTTAATGGAACCAAACATCTTCTCACCTCAAGAGTCAGTTCATTCTTCTCTTTGTCTCCAAAGGGATCAGGCTGACTGAACACATCTTTGAGATATTCATCCACAAAATGCATAGTAGGGGCAAACTTTCTCTTCATCTCCTCTCTGGACGTGTCTCTGAACTCATAATCATACCTGTTCAACCAAATGTACATTCAGACAAACTGAACAACAAAAAGCAGTTTTATAAATAAAGCCGCATAATACTAGAAGCACCAGTGAGAAAGAGTTCTTTCCATCTTACTCATTGACAGAGATCTTGGAAGGTATCTCAGTCCAGAGACGCGCATAACGAACGGGCACCACGGCCTCCTGTGGGTCGCGGTCCACGTGCATGTGCAGCATTAAACGACAAAATGAGGCACGAAGGTTGTAAGGCAGGCAGTCATCAAACATGCAGCGCAGGATTAGATCTACCGGCAGCTGATTGGAAATCTGATTGATGGCCAGATACTGCCGGTCCAGGCACATTTTAGCGAAAAGATTGAGTTGACACCTGAGAATGGATAGACATTCATATGTATTCCAATTTAAAATGAAACAAAAATCCTGCTTTGAAGATTATAATATAAAATCTAAAATAAAATAAAAGACACTATCTTCCAAAGATGTGATTGAACTCTCACCTGTAGTAGGTGATGATGTCAATGTCCAATTTTTGTCCATCCTTGGTATCCTGGGCCAGGTGGCGGATAGACTTCCCATGAGGCTCTTTGTCGTTATCATTCCAGTATAGCCACACCTCTTCATCATCACCATCCTCCTGGATTAAAGATGACTCCAGAGAGGTCTCTGTGTGTGGGATCAGTCTAAGGAAACACAAACCCAGTCATATATTTTAACAAAGGCAAAATGATCTTGTCACTAACAGAGTTTCATCCCATAATTCTGAGTCATTGTTATACAGCTAATCTCAGCAGGCAGCACACAGCAGATCTCACTTGGTCTGGATGAGGATGTCTGCGTTGCTGGGGTTCAGCATGAATTTGCAAATTAGCTCCTGAGTGATAGGAATGGCTGTTTTGTTGGAGACGCAAAGGTCAGACAAATAATCCAGAAACCTGGGGGGAAAGGCACAATAAAATACACAATTAACTTTGAGACCACACTAACCAATGTGAAAACAGCACTTGTATCAAATGCAAGAATCAAATCTGAACGTACACTACTGTTCAAAAATATCAGTAAGATTTCTCACTTTTTAAAAAAGAAATTAATACTTTTATTCAGCAAGAATGTATTAAATTGATCAAAAGTGACAGTCAAGACTTTTCTACATTGCTAAAAAAAGATTTCCGTTTCAAATAAATGCTGTTTCTTTTAACTTTCTATTCATCACAGAATCCTGAGAAAAATGTATCACTGTTTCCAAAAAAATATTAAGCAGCACAACTGTTTTCAACACTGATAAAAAATAAATAAATCAACATATCAGAATGATTTCTGAAGGATCATGTGACACTGAAGTTTGAAGTAACAGCTGCTGAAAATACAGCTCGGCCATTACAGGAATGAATTATATTTTTAAATATAAAAACCAAAATGCTATTTTAAATTGCAATTTTTCATATTCTAACTAATTTGGAATCAAAATGATTCTAAAAGGACAAATAAGAATCTTAAAGATACAATCCTACTTTGAAAAATATATATATATTTTTTTTTTATCCAGTAGAATATTACAGTACGTATCTTAAAGAATTCCTAAAGATCAAGATCTCTTATTTGATCCAATACACTGGTTCCAAATTACAGAAAATCCATTAGTTTTCCTTAAAGATTTCATTTTCTGCCGGTATTGGTTAGTGCCAAACATTTGAGTGGATGTCTAAAACTCTGGGTCAGACCTGGGCTCTCGGTTCCTGCGCAGAAGTTTGATAAAGGTCTCAATCTCACGTGCAGTGATATGTTTTTCTAACAGCTTGCGGTTGTTGTGCAGGAGAGCAGTGATTGTGTCTTCGGCCAGGATCTCATAGCCGATTTGAGCCTGCATGATGGAAAAATTCTTGGCTATGTACTCCTGTGAGAAAGAGGATACGTGTATTAGTCTAATGGACAACCCTAATAATTGGAACTGATAATTGAAGATATTCCTTGCCTGATTCTTGCGGTAATCTTGTTGGGAATGGCGCAGAATTCTGTAACACAATTGTAGCATGTACTTAAACGGAGCGTTGCGCTGCTCCCCCATATCCTCCAGTTTCGGCATGAGCGGGTCTTTAATCTCAGAAAATGGCGCTTTAAGAATTCCAAAGATCTGCAAACATAAAAATTACAGTCAGAAATCTGCCACTGAATCTACGATTCTTAAAAGAATCAACTTGAGATGACTGTTTGAGCAAACCTGTGCCAGGATGTTTTGCTCTCTCATGAGTTTCTGCCTCTCTCTGCTGGGGTTCGAAATGACCACAGACAACACGTCCTGTCCATTGTTCGGCATGTCGCACACAAAGAAGATCAGATCCTCCAAAAGCTTAATAGTAAACCTGAACATAAAAACGTAAGATTAAGTACATTTTGGTGACTTCTGTGTGATCTGAGCTTCATACATTTCTATGCAATTGACAATGGACAATGCTAGTGTGCAAAAAAAGGTCTATTGTTACCACACCTTAACAACTTCAAAGGTCTTCAGTGACATATACCTGCGTTCATTTGCTGCTGCAAAATTGCTGATGCCCAATATATGCACATACATCTCCAGGACCTTGTTGGCATCGTTGGCAAAGTCCAAATCTCGGACCTCTGATAGGGGGACAGAATTAATGGAAAATGCCTCCTTGTCCTCCTTCATTTGACAGGTGCCGATCTATTCGAATAAACAGAGAAATTACATGAGCTTTCGTTGACAAGACTAGTTTTTCTTCACATAAAAATGGAAGGAAATAAACAACCTTGAGCATAACGGGTCGTTCCTCCTCAACATCAATGGGAATGTTAGTACTGGTCACCCAAGTGTTTGTGCACAAGTGCCTGAGTCTGACATAGGAATTCCTAAAAAAGGAAAGTACATTCTTTAAATGAATCGAACCCATGACCTTGCTGTTCATAGCAACATACTAATTTGTCAGCAACAGGAAATACCCAAAAGTACATGTGGCATAGTGTGGACTCCTATCCCATCGACAGCACGTAATGGGGACTTGAATAAAAACTAATCTGAACAAATGGTTTCATAAGTATATTTTAAAATCTAAATGGTCGCTCTAAAAGGCTTTGTGAGCACTTGAATTCATTGGAAGGACTTGTTCTACAATCATTACTCCCTTTCAAACCCTTACTGCTGCTTTTTCACACCTACATCTCTTAGCTTGCACTTCTAGCCAATTTGGGTGCTTATACGAATTGCCTCTTTAGGGTAGATTGCTTGTACCATTTCTCATTTTGGATAAAAGGGATTTTGCTAAACATCTAAATGTAAGTGTTTTCATTCTAATTTCATGGTTTCCATGATTAAAAGTCATTTTAGTGTATAGGAACTAACCTGGGAACTAGGCAGTCTGCCCGCTGTAAGGTGGTGGCATCCAGTTCAAAAAGAGAGGCGATGTCATTGCCATGGGGCACTGACAAAAGGGTGTATGGGATCTTGTAAGCCTGCCACTTCTTTTTAGAGTACAAAGTGCCTGTGTTGGTCTGAGGTTTGCACAGAGAGACAGGCGAAGGTCACATTGGTGTATAACAACCCACATATGACATTGCAAGCACCACTGAGTCTGCATGTACTGTTCCATTATTACTGGTTTTAAATATAATAATTTGCACTTATGGGTTACTGTATGTAATTTTTCTATTCTTTCAATATTTTTACATGAAAATATTCATGGTGAGACCTCAAACCAGGGTTATTACTGTTAACTAAAATTAAAATCTTAAATGTTTTATATTTTAGCCAGTTGCCAAGGAAACGTTTCTCATTTTTACTGATGTACTAAAATAACTAAAACTAAAACTGAAATAAAAATTAATAAAACCATAGACATTAAAAAACAAAAACTAACAGAAATGACAGACACAACAAAATGACTAAATGGAATTAATTGAAATGAAAATGGAAAACATAAAAATAAAAACTAATTTAAACAACAACTACAATAGTATCTCAATAATACTAAAATAACAAAAACTGTCCTCACTGAATGATAAAATAAAATTTAAAATAAATAACAAAATAACAAAAATAAATAAATGTATTTACAGTAATGCAGTTCCAATGGAAGTCTACTTAAAAGCAGAAATATGCAACTCTTATTTTTGTTAAAGCTCTTTTTTGGTGTTACAAGGTCATAACAGGATTCAAAGGTTGCATATGACCAGACAAGATTACAAGCAATTTGACCAACCTAATCTCATGTTGAAACTTACAATCTTTATATCTTGTGACTCTACTAACATAAAAGAGTGTGTTTTAACATTTATTCAGTTCCATTGGTAGTGTGCTACTGTAAAAACATTTTTGCTTGTTTTTAAAAAACTGAAAACTGTTTCGACAACATTGAACCTGCAATTCCTAAATTGCTGTAAATTTACCGGAACGACTTTACCGGTAAATACAAAAATGCGCTGTTCACACAGGCAATGCCGTTCTGTCTTTTTACCGGTAAAGGACCATTCACAAATCAGTTTCAAAATTCTGGTAAATTCTGTGACATCATTAACCGGGAAATGACCTCTAAACATCTCGTTCTGCGTTCACACACAGCATCATACCGGTAATTTACTGGTAATGTTACAACTTCTCATTCCGGTAAATGTAAATGTACATTTATAACAGTATACTTTGTGTTTTACTACCTTGGCATTAAATTACAGAAAACGGGTTAACACTGTGTTTCTAAAACAATGGCTGAGGAAGCGACGGCAAAAAAGACTTCCTTCTCTCTTCTGAGCAATGTAATCAATCTCTCAATATTTTTTTTTTCCTCTTTTGGAAAGTCATAGAAATGCTCTCATGGATTTTTTCATTTGCTTTTGGGGCAAATGGGAATGTAAAAATAATATTTGTTGTAGTTTCCGTTCACCACTATAGACGTTCAACCAACTATGATGACTTCCACTTCAGAGAACCCTGAGAAATGGGTTCATAAAACTATTTGGAATATTCAAGTTCAGATAATTTGTGGTGGGAGAGTTTGATGAGAAATGATTGAGTTGTTGATATTCTTCTTAAACTCCTTGCCGTCTACAAGAAACAATAGAGATCTCAAAAAGAGCTGCTAATACATTCTGACATTCTTCTGATATCAGCATTCAGATAATGTGTTATTGATTTCAGGGTCAGTTGAGTAAAGTTTACTGCAAAGTTTACTGCTCTGGGAAAAGCTTCATGTGTGCAGCATGCAAATAAATGTGAACCACAGGAATTCACACAAACCACACCATGTCAAACCATATACTAAACAGCTCTTTAACCATGACTGAATTATGCAAAGCAGGGAGAACGGAAAAAACGGATGAGTTTCGGGTAAGGACTAAACAATGTAGAGATGGAATGTGCACCTCTGCCGCAAGGTAGTGGCCTGTGGCGAGGTGTTTGAAGCGAAACAGGCTGTTCCACTGGCCGGCTCCTCCTCTGCAGGGGTCAGAGTGTACAACCTGAAGCACACAGGACAGGATGAGAGACTCCAGATTAATTCTGTACTGCGTGGTATTGTTCTAACTTCTGAGTAAGAACATACACTACCGTTCAAAAGTTTGGGGTACGATTAAGTAATTTTTTAAAGAAATGAATACTTGTACTTAGCCAGGACAAATTAAATTTATCAAAAGTGACAGTAAATACATTTATAATGTTACATAAGATTTTTTTATTTCAAATAAAGGCTGGTCTTTTGAACTTTTCATTCATCAAAGAATCCTAAAAAATGAACCAAAGTTTCCACAAAAATATTAAGCAGCACAAATGTTTTCAACATTGATAATAATAATAAATGAAGACTGGAGTAATGGCTGCTGAATATTCAGCTTTGTCATTACACTTTAAAATATTAAAATAGAAAACAGTTCTTTTAAAATGTTATAATATTTCACAATATTACTGTTTTTACTGTATTTTTGAATTTAAAAAAAATTACAGCCTTGGTGAGAATAAAATATTTTTCAAAAACATGATAAAAAGTCTTATTGACCCCAAACTTCTGAACAGTAGTGTGTATCCCATTTAAAAATCATAAAATGTTATGATACATTTTACTTCATTACATATAGAGAACTTTAAGTTTGTGAACTCAGATCAGATAAAAATAAGAAAAACACTTTTACATCATTGTACAAAACTATACCTCCACTTCCCATAGAGCTTTTGAACTGGTGGCAGAGGTTGCTGATTGGCGGAGAGTGGTTCGTAAGAAGACATACTGCTGTTTCTTGTACTCATCACAAGTAAGAAACTTTTCTTGCTCGGCATGAAACAACCTCACCACATCCCCCTGAGTGAATCAAAGAGAGAGACCCAAATGATTAGAGAGATATTATAGACCACAATACAAAACAAACCCAAATCAATAGACCACTCCTAACATATCTAATAAACCACAACATAAGACTCACCCCTTTTAATATGTCATCTCTGTATTTACAGAATTTCATGAAAAGAGTGACCTTCCAATTGGTGTTGCAGTTCAAAGCGTTAACCTGGCAGACGGAAATACACATCTTTATTTCCATTACTTTTTCATGACATTTCTTTTTATTTTCATTTATTTGTGATTGAAATCATTTTGATTCCAATTTTTTTTTTTAACTGGCCTGATTGATTCACTGATTTTTTTTTTCCACAAATCAAACATTTCTACAGCTTTGCTATAGAAACTTCCATGACTTGTTCAAGCTTTCTAGCATTTTATCAATGTTCATGATTTTCCCAAGCCTGGAATCCAGAATTTCCCCTCACATTTCCAGGTTTTCCACCACCATGGGAACCCGGTAATTAATACAATGCATCAGAACCTGTGACTCATCATGTGATCTCATTAACAGTGCTGCTGAGAACACAGCTGGTGTCTGACCTCTCTGCAGCCACGGTTATCCAGGAGTTCGATGTTGCTGGCGTGGAGAGGCTGCCCCGCGTTTACAGGCATTAGAACCACTTTATCTCCAAGCACCACCTACAAACACACACAAACAACACTGCTTTCAACATCAGCTGTTTCTGTTGTTTCACCATTTCAACAACAAAAGAAACAGAATAAAATAAAAATCACATCCTGTGACATGGGGTCATTAAAGAGCAGATACTAATGGAAAACGAGAGCACATTATTCAACAGAACAGAGAACTTGTTTATACACACAGATATAATATCCATTGCATGCTGAAACAGGTAGTGTAAATGCACAGTTTGTGAAGAAAATGTGAGTGGTGTGTTAAGAATGCTATTCCTCTCTATACACAACATAACATCACAGACATCCAGTATAACTCAGAACTCAAGCCCCTGATGTCAACAGTGGATCTGAACCTGTTTGGATGCTTTTTAATAATTCTATTCCGATTTGGAAACTATTTGCATACTAGATCTGAAAGTATTTGGATATATTTTAATAATTCAGGCTTGAAAGTAAAAATCAAGACAAAAAAAATTAAGCAACAACATTGTGTGAACATGGTTCTGTAACAGGCTGTTAGGGCTGCATGTTACATGCATGTTAGCATACTGCAAACTTCTCTGTGTACACACACACACACACACTTCATGCGCCAAACTTTATATAACAGTGGATCTGAACCTGTTTGGATGCTTTTTAATAATTCTATTCCGATTTGGAAACTATTTGCATACTAGATCTGAAAGTATTTGGATATATTTTAATAATTCAGGCTTGAAAGTAAAAATCAAGACAAAAAAAATTAAGCAACAACATTGTGTGAACATGGTTCTGTAACAGGCTGTTAGGGCTGCATGTTACATGCATGTTAGCATACTGCAAACTTCTCTGTGTACACACACACACTGCATGCGCCAAACTTTATATTAGATACCTTCACGATTCAGTTGCTGAGATGAAAACAAGAGGAGAGACCAGACGAGTTAACACAACAAAATGTTCATATAATGATGAGAGTTGATTAGCTTTTTTAAAATGGGTAAATGACCCATTACCAATGATGCAGTTATTTCTTCACTGCGTGTTTAAAAATAGAAAAACATGATAAAAGTCAGAACCTAAACCCACTTCAGTCATTGTTTCTGAAGTGTTTGTTGTGTTAGTGGAGTGATGCCTACATTGTCTCCTTCACTGCGTAGCTTCCAGAAAGGCTGGATGCAGAACCAGGAGCCCTCATTTCCCGAAGGGTCCAGAGAAACACGCATGGCGTTCTTCTCCAGCAGGGCCGGAAGACGCTTATTCACTGTCAGGTACTTATTACTCTTAATATGGAGAAGCTGAAAATATAAGGAAAGTGTACTGTATTTAAAATACTGCATTACATACATTATCATTCAAAAGTTTGGGGTCTACAGTATTTGTTTTTTTTTGAGTGTCGCATTTAACTGATCAAAAGTGACAGTAAAGACATTTATAAAACTACAAAAAATATATTACAAATTTCAAATGCTGTTCTTTTGAAATTTCTATTCATTAAAGAATCCTGAAAAAAATGTATCACTGTTTGTAAGTAAAATAAGATGCAATATGGACCAGTCATGATTCAAAAGTGAAAAGTCTGGCTCTGTGAGAATATAATATGATACTAAACTGAAACTTTCAGTTTACTATCAGATGCTAGTCTCACATAGCCAGACTTTTGATTTTCGAATCATGTCTTTGAAAGTAAAGCACAAGGCCACACACAGGCACATGAATTTCAGTCAAGTCAGTAGCTTTGAAAGCAACTGCAAAACTCAAATGGAGAGGCCCTTTGGGTCAAATAAGTTTGGTAAAACATCTGAAACCATGGTTTTTGTGTAAGCCCATAGAAGCACTTAGATTAAAGTGACCAATCAAACAGGCACTTATTTCTATTGGTTCTGGAGCCGTATATCACAAACACTGTCAAATGCCTCTTTGGCCCTTGAGCGGTGCACTGGCAGCCTTGGCAACAGTGTGAAAACAAACAGAATGTTCTCAATGTCCAACCAAAAGTGTAAAAAAAAAACATTTGTTGATAAGAAGAGGGAAGCTTGACTGTACCTGTATAACCCGACTATATTTGACAACCTCTCCCAGTAATTTCTTCTTCTCAGTATCGTTCTGTTTTTGCTCCATTTCCGCTGCATGCTGCAAAATGTAGTAGAAAGGACAGCAAACTATAATTAGCAATCCCAAAACGCCTAGTAATAGAATTCTATTGCATAATCAGTGATGTTAAAGAACTAAGATGCATATATACTGTCGGCAGTCAGTGTTATAAGGGCACCTGTAATTTCTTGAAGAGGTCTCCCTGTGTGTTGTTCCCATGTTTTCCCTGTTTTGCCTTCCAGAACTGTCTCTGTGCAGAGTACCTATTCATAGGACACACCTTGAAGAGACAATCTAAACAACAGAAAGAAAAACAATTCTATTAGTTGCTGAATTTTAGTTTCCGTTTCGAGGGAACTCAAACTGCGTCCTCTAGCGGTTGCTATGGGGAATGCCTTCAGTGTGACCGGTGTCTGAAGCACATGTCTAAACATGACAATAACATTGGCCGGCGACAGCCTATGACGTCACTACCGGCGCGACAAGAGTATAAAAGGGTGCTGGAAGAATACATCATCCTCTTCTTTGTCTTCACTGCCGTTTTTTTATGTTAGCAGCTAAGCACGACTAGGAGTGCATGTTCTCTCGTCCGAGGCTTCGCTCTGATACCCGAGGTTTCACACGACCCGTGTGTTGAGTGTGTGGGTGAGAAGCAAGCGCGTTCAGCTCTTGAGAGAATTTAATGTGCTCATCGCACTCATTGCGCTTTCTTTGTGGATAGGTGTGAACTGAACATGTTTGACTCACAAGGAGGCAGATTGTGCTAATCGTGATGCATTCACGGGACTACTGAAACGGGAGGCGAGTACTTCACCATTTACCCGAGACTGTAGACAGCATTTGCATGAGTGTGTTCGCCTCTTGTGCGAGTTGAACAAGCTCATAGCGACGCATTGGCAGCGGTTTCTGCTCTCGCTTGATTTCCGAGGGAATCGAACGCTTGAACGAAGCGTGTTTAGAAGCTGAATACATGCTGTACGTTGCGGTCATGGTGATAATTCTCTGCCTATCACCTGCAGTTCGAGACAATTAATCGGACCATTAGTCCCCCCTGTCCTGGGGACCTCTTGTGTTGTATGGCCTCCTACAAGGCCTCCTCAATTAGGCTCATCCTCTTTCTCAAGTGTAGGCTTGCGAACCTCCTTGATGCTTGGCCCTGAACTGAGCTAGTGCTCCTTACCCGCGAGTGGTGTAGTTGAGTACCCTGCTCTCTGGGGCTAGGAGTTTGAGTGTACTCCCCTTGTGCTCCTGAGGGCCACCTGTGAGTACGTCACTGGTGCAGAACATGTACGTCTCTGGTACAGAGTGATATTGCGTACCCTGCTCCCTGATGACCTCGCTGGGTGTTTTGGCTTCGAGAAGCCACCCTGGCCAAGGTGCTTATGAGGTGAGCTAATTCATATCTCGCCCTGAAGGTTCTCCTCTCATTGACTCCGCTCTTGGAATCCCTCTCTGCAGTCATGATAGGTTGTAAGGCCCACTATGGACCTCCCTGTTATACTGCCCTTATGGTTGAACCAGTGAATCTCTCCTCTCTTTGTGAGTGACTTGAGTACACCGTTTCCCCTGAGGTATGAGTGTGATGGCACTTCCTTCATTCTGAAGGCATATTTACATTTACATTTAGACATTTAGCAGACACTTTTATCCAAAGCGACTTACAAATGAGGACAATGGAAGCAATCAATATCAACAAAAGAAGTTATAACAAGTCTTAGTTAGCTCAATGCAAGGTTTTATTATATAATAAATAAAAAGAAAGATAGAATAGAAAAAGAATAGAGCAAGTTAATGTTAGAGGACTTTTTTTATATTATTATTATATTTATATATTATTTATATTATTTATATATTATTATTATTATTATTATTTTATATTATTATTATTATTAGCATATTATTGAGTACTTGCTCTGAGGAGCCCTAATCATGTGCATGAATGGCTTTGGGTTCTGTCCTGTTTTCGTGGTTGAGCTGGCATTGCTCCCCTTGGTTATAACGATGGTACAAGAGTCTGTCGCTCCCACAAGCCTCTTCAGCAGGCTCCTTTCAAGCCTAGCTGCCTCCTTTCTGCTACCCTGTTAGACTGCCCTTTCTGGTTGAGTTTGGCAGTGCTCCTCTCACTACGGGAGGATTGCCTATGAGCCTGTTGCTCCCAGGTTGAGCATGTAAGTTCCCTGGTCGATTTGAAAATTGTGTACTCCACTCTCAGGGCTCTCAGGGCCTCAGACAGACAGGTTGTTGGCTATCCTGTAGCCCCACTGGGAGAATTAGGGGTATATGTATGAAGTCCCTCTAGGTGACAGGCCAGGGTCTGGTGATATGGTGAAATATAGATGCCCAGCCATATCCCCTTAAAGGAATCACATTGTTATCTGATTCCAAGCCTTTGAGCTCTACCCTGGGACTGGGTTTCCTTGTCAGCCCTTAACAGGTAAGTTAATTTGGGTATGTAGCTCGGGCCTTTGGCAGAAAGGGATAGTGTCACTGACAGCTGCTGATACGTCCGAGGGGCGACTCCGATGGTTTCACTGCGGAGTTGGTGCTTAGTGCTCGCCTCAGAAAATATGGCATGCACTTCCCTCAGCATGGCAGTGTGGGCATTCCATCCATGGAGGACATATTCCTAGAGGACGCAGTTCGAGTTCCCTCGAAAGGGAATGTCTCCGGTTACGCATGTAACCATGGTTCCGAGATGGGAACGAGACACTGCGTCCTCTTTTCTTGCCATGCCTCAGGACGCATGCTCCGAGGGGCGACTCCGATGGTTTCACTGCGGAGTTGGTGCTTAGTGCTCGCCTCAGAAAATATGGCATGCACTTCCCTCAGCATGGCAGTGTGGGCATTCCATCCATGGAGGACATATTCCTAGAGGACGCAGTTCGAGTTCCCTCGAAAGGGAATGTCTCCGGTTACGCATGTAACCATGGTTCCCTGAGATGGGAACGAGACACTGCGTCCTCTTTTCTTGCCATGTCTCAGGACGCATGCTTCGTTATTGCAGATGAAGAAGCGGATGACATATTCTCCCGGCACCCTTTTATAATATGGTCATGCCGGTAGTGACGTCATAGGCTGTCACTGGCCAATGTTATTTTCATGTTTAGACGTGCTTCAGACAATGTTCACGCTGAAGGCATTCCCCATAGTGACCACTAGAGAACACAGTGTCTTGTTCCCTTCTCAGGGAACCATGATTACATGCGTAACCCGAGACGTTTTATATATTTTATTCAATTTTTTTTTTAAATCTAATAAAAAAACTAATTAAAAAAATCTAGAAATCTATAGTATAATTATAGTACATAATATTATGTATGTGTGTCTCTCTCTATAATATACCATATTGTCCCGAATATAAGACGATGTTTTTTTCTTGGAAATACATCTGAAAAAACGCGGTCGTCTTATATTCGGGCCAATACGGTATATATTATACACATTTGTTTTTTAATTATAAATATTATATTAACAATATAAATATTATTATTAATTTTTTTAATATATTTATAATAATATAAATAAGAGACATTTTAAGTTGGTTTCAGTGTCATTACTGAATCCAAGTGACTGTATCATTTTTTTTTTACAGGCTGTGTCTTTGAGTTAAATAAAAGGACAGGACTAACAAACACAATCTGTCATTTTACTCCAGCAAACCAAATAGATGTATGATTTCTCCTTAATGCGAATGTAATGTGCACAAACAAATTAGTTTGGAGAAGACAGACTCAAATACACTTCCTCAAATGTCCCTTTTGGCAAAGTGACAACTGAGTACATCCAACAGAGTCAAAGTTTATTTGCTAGCCTTCAGGGAGCCACTAAAATGTGTCTACAACAGTGTAAAAGTTTGATTATTAAAGATTTAAGAACATTTTATACAGAATTTTATAAATAATTATTGACACTGAGATTACATGAATCTTGGCATAAAGGTGCGGACACATTTACCATCATTCAGCAAATTTTTCAAGGCTAAATCCAGTCAAAGGAATCCAAGTGATCTGGAATTTCCCATGAGGATGAAAGATTTTCCCACAGATTTCAAAACAAGTTCAGTTTGGCCACATAGATTTGATACGTTGACCAACAGAACGCTGCTTGGTTTGAAAGTGACTTTATACATTGCCAATCTATTGATAATAGACAATGGACCTTTTATCCTGCAAAATCTTGCTGAATTATTTTCATTTTCTGGTTTAACTATTATAAAAATCATCAAGTACATAAAAAGTGCAAGTTATCACATGGGCTTTTGTGTTCAAAAGCACAGGAAGCTTGTATTGACTTGTAGTGAACATCCCTTTGGAGCTAGCGTTTCAACAATGCCCTTCAGCATAGGGTTAGGTTATAGCTATTTCTGATTCTTGTACAGTCCTCCAAATTGCACTTGAGGAACAACACTGTTTACCCACCTCTGCTTACAATTCTAGTCATTAGGCAACAGCAGGCACCCTACTGAGATCTCACTATAAACCTGAAGATGTGGGGGGGCGCTGACAGCCTGCGTGCGTGGCCTTGGCAAGAGCAAAGATTCAGTGTGTAGGAGGCTGTTACTGCTCAAGGGCCGAATAATTAATCAGTGGCTGAGCAGGTGTAAAGAAATACACACACAGAAAGCTACAGCTACATATTTATTTTGCCCGGTGTTGGGATTTCTTTTGCCTGCCACTTTTTATTGGTACTACAATGCTGGGGAGTAACTAAGCAAAAGTAGCGACGCTAACTTAACTACATTTTTCTTTAGCACGTAGCTCAGGTTTTTTCAAAACAGCATAACAAGCTACTTGTTCCACCAACTAGTGTAGTAACTTGTAGCACAGCTATAGCTTGACTGTAGTTTAACTACTTTAAATTATGAGCAAGATGTAGCTTCATAAGCTAATTTCAAATTAGCTCCCATCACGGTTATTTCAATAACAACAATCCACTGGCTAATAATGGTGCTAATATGTTAGTATTGGGTCATGTAGTGTGATCAGTCTTGTCGGACTGACTCACCTCTGAATTTGTCTGGTGGGTTTGTAAGATCCCCAGCCTCAGGTTGCACCACACATCGGTCATCCACCAACCTGAAGGGGCAAAATATGACAACTTATGTAAAATTATACATTGAAGGATGGGAAACAGAAAATGAAAATTTTTTTAAAGACAATTTTCTTTCAATTAGACTTTGTTCAGACAAGCAGCAATAAGCATCAGATTTTTAAATATATATTTATGGTTTGACCCTACAGTAGACAAGTGTTTCGGAAAATGTATGGAATTATAATAAGAAATATTCCGTAAGTGTCACGAATCCGGTCCGTGGTCTTCCGTCTGCTCGCCACCAGAGGTCGCCTTCTGATTACATTGACTCTCACACCACACAAACTGTTGCACGTCACCCTAGACTACATTTCCTATGCTCCACTGCACTGACTGGACTCACCTGCAGCCAATCACACACACACACTATATAACAACCACTCAAATCCTTCTCTAATCGCAGAGTATTTTTTGCACTTATCTCTCTCCTAGCGATAGTGACTTTACGGAGCCAGTTCCCAGTCCTAGTTTCGAGTTCTTAGTTCTAGTCTTAGTCTAGTCTAGTTGTTTCCTGATTATTAGCCTGTCTTGGATTATCCATTTGTCTTGCTGTTTTGGACTATGTTTGCACCTTGCCTGGAATATAACCTGTCTGTTGGATTCCCCGTTTGCTTCGCCCTCTGGATTATGTTCGCCGTCGTTTGACCCACGCCTGTCCTTGGATTACTCTTTTGTCTTGCCTACAACATACCTGTTTGCCATTGTCTAACCCTCGCCTGTTTCATGACCACATCTTTAAATAAAGCTCTGCATATGGATCCGCACACCTCTCGTCTAGTTCGCCCCGTTACAGAAAGCACCAAATCAGCATATTACAATGATTTTTCTGAAGGATAATGTGAAACTGAAGACTGAAAATACAGCTTTGCCATCACAGGAATAAATTACACTTTAAAATGATAAAACAGAATACAGTTATTTTACTTTGTAATAAATGTCACAATAAATGACACAGTCTTGGTGAGCATAAGAGACTTTTTTCAAAAACATTTTCAGAAATCTTACTGACCCCAAACTTTTAAATAGTAGTATTGTCTAAATCTGCATACAAATACTAGAGGTCGACCAATTGATCAGTTTAGCAGATTAATCAGCACGATAGCCGATTGCCGGAACTATTGACTATAGGTAAAAATCCATGCTGATAGTTTTTCCAGGTTGCGTCCAATGCTGGAGCAGCTAAGTTCCACCAGTACGAGAGCAAGAGCGGCCTTTAGATGCAGAAATCATTGACACCTTGGGCTGTTTGTTTTGGCACGTGACACTGCACGCTGCACAGAGCGGGACAACTCAGACACGGATTTGAAACCTAGACAATGAAATGGTGTGTATATAGTATACTATAGTGCATGTTTTCATATCAATATAAAGTAATTAATTTGTTGACTAGATGCTGCATTAGTAGAGAAAGAACAGCAGTATGTTTGTTGTCAAGGCTGAGAGAACGCTAACATTATTAGCACCTCAAGCTATTAAAGTGTGACCAAAATACACGCAAGTCCGACCCAAATGTTTAGAGTCACGATTGTTACCATCTATTTGCATTAGTTTATATCCAGCTGGTCACTTTAATGCATTCGTTAGCCAGTGAAGTTGCATATTTAAAGATAGTGACATGAGAAAGCAAACTGATATGTTCATGCAGCTGACCGACGCGTCTGGTGTGATACCTGCGAGTTTTGTATGGTGTGCGACCGCTATATTTTGTTATTTTGATTAGATAATCATCAAGTGTTCTAAAATTTAAACAAATAAAGTGTGAGAGTATACAGACAATATCCATATTGTATGTAATTTCTTAATTATAAGAAATTACATCTTTAAGCATGACTGTTTGGATTTATATAAGAGTTTTATATTAGAGTATTATATTAGAGTGTGTTAATTAAAAATTTACATTTTAAAGTTGCTTCTGTTAACATTAGTTAATGAAATATGAACTAACATTAATGATCAACGTATAATTAATATTTAATATGAATATCTTTATTCAATATGAAAAGCATGGTTCTGTAATTGTGTGTGTGTGTGTGTGTGTGTGTAATAAAGTTCAGCAATATTTTAGTTTTCATACAGTATCCATTTTCAAAACTATGGGTTGATTAATCGGTTATCGGCCAGTTATCGTATCGGTAAAATCCACTATCTGTCGACCTCTAACAAATACACACATTTTTGCTCACTGTTGTCTTAATAATAATAATAATAATAATAATAATTCATTACATTTATATAGCGCTTTTCTAGGCACTCAAAGCGCTTTTACATTGTCAGGGGTATCTCCTCATCCACCACCAGTGTGCAGCATCCACCTGGATGATGCAACGGCAGCCATAGTGCGCCAGAACGCCCACCACACACCAGCTTATTGGTGGAGAGGAGACAGAGTGATGACAGAGTTAGTTAACTAACTATGAGATATTCACTGTTTGAATACAGTATACATTTATTGGAAATAGTCTCTTATGTTCTCTTAAGTCACTTATGTTCACTGAGGCACCTTATTCAGCATGGCATGTTGAGAATTTAAACTTGAGAGTTTAAAAGACAGAGAAAAAAGTCCTCTGATATTAATATAAAATAAAAAAAAGTCTTTCAAGACACAAAAAAGAGACTTAGTAGGCTCAGCATTGTATATCAAAGCAAACAGAGTTTCCTCTCATGAATGACTCAATTGAAAATGCTTGTAATCCTAAATCAACAAACTATTCAATTCTTTGAATGCAGAGCATATTTGCCCACTCTATGGTCAATGCAAACCCACACAGTCAAATTTAATTACACAATATGCTCAGTTGCTGTGACCACAGGCTGTCTTAACAGAATAGGTTACAAAAAATAATGTTAAAACCTTTCAGAACACAATTTTGTTTAGTTTAAAGGAATAGTTAACCCAAAAATGAAAATCTGCTCACCCTCAGGCCATCCAAGATGTAGATGCGTTTGTTTTTTCATCGGAACAGATTTGGAGACTAGCATTGTATTATTTGCTCACCAATGGATCCTCAGTGAATGGGTGCCGTCAGAATGAGAGTCCAAACAGCTGATAAAAACATCACAATAATCCACAAGACACCAGTCCATCAATTAATGTCTTTTAAAGTAAAAAGCTGCATGTTTGTAATAAACAATAAATCCATCGTTTAGATGTTTCAACTTTAAACCACTGCTTCTGGTCAAAATGTGTGTCCATAATCCACGGTAACGCTTCCTCCAGTGAAAAAGTCCATCCCCCGTTGTTCTCTCACATCAAAATCCAGCAACATATTTGTTTAGAACAGTTTTCGCTTGTGCATTTGTGCTTGGTGCTTAATTCAGATAAGACCACTTTTTAACTGGAAAAAGCAATATTATGGATAGAGGACATGCAGCTTTTTGCTTCACAAAATGTCAATCAATGGACTGGAGACATGTGATTAATTTGTAATTTATCAGCTGTTAGAACTCTCATTCTGACGTCACCCATTCACTGCAGAGGATCCATTGGTGAGCAAGTCATGTAATGCTAAATTTCAGGATGGCCTGAGGGTCAGTAAATTACCAACAAATGTAAATTTTTGGGTGAATTATTTCTTTAATATTAACCTTTTCAGTGGTGAGTTTAAAATATTCAAGTCGGATTTACAGCGATTGGTGAGCAAGTCATGTAATGCTAAATTTCAGGATGGCCTGAGAGTCAGTAAATTACCAACAAATGTAAATTTTTGGGTGAATTATTTCTTTAATATTAACCCTTTCAGTGGTGAGTTTAAAATATTCTAGCGGTCCCCCCAGAGTGAGTTTTTTTTAGGCGACTGTTATTTTAGAACGTTTCCCCTTACTGTTTCCATGGCAACGCGTCATGCTTGTCACGTGACACACCGCGGACACAATAACACTGTATGACAGATGGATGGCTTTTATTTCGTTTTTCATTTTTTTATTCAAAATATTCATAAACTTGCTTACCATTTCAT